ATTACTTCTATCCCCTTTTTTGAATATGGGTGTTATATTAGCATGCTTCCAATCTGATGGTACCACAGAAGCAAGACTGAAGTCCCATAAAGCAGGGAAGAAGCCCTTCATCAAGGAGAAACAGGGAAGAACCAGGCTGCAGTTTGCAAAAAAAATAAATGCATGTATTTTTGTCCTTGCATGTATTCTGGATGATGTGCTATCTAAGGAAATACCTACTAAGCATTATTACTTACATACACACACTCATAAATTGAGAAATGAGGACAACAAAAAATTGTGCTGTGGTCTATTAATTTTTTCCATAGCTGTACAGTACTGTGACATACTGAAGCAGAGCACGATCCCCTCCCTTCGGAAACTGGACCACAGGGCAGTATTCCTACATGATAACAACCCCTAACACACTTCCAAGATGACCACTGCCTTGCTAAAGAAACTGAGGGTAAAGGTCTCCAGACCTAAACCCTATTGAGCATCTGTGGGTCATCCTCAAATGGAAGGTGGAGGAGCGCAAGATCTCTAACATCCACCAGGTCCGTGATGTCATCATGGAGGAGAGGAAAAGGATTCCAGTGGCAACCTGTGAAGCTCGAATGAACTCCATGCCCAGGAGAGTTAAGACAGTGCTGGAAAATAATGGTGGCCGGGGCAGGCAGGGCAGGATCAGGAAGGTTTAAGAGCAGACAGGGTAGAGGCAGGCAGGACAGGATCAGGCAGGGTAGAGGCAGGCGAGGCAGGAGCAGGAAGGGCAGGATCAGGAAGGTTCAGGAGTAGGCAGGGCAGGAGCAGGCAGGGCAGGAGCAAGCAGGGCAGGGGCAAGCAGGGCAGGATCAGGAAGGTTCAAGAGCAGACCAGGACCATCAGACGAGGTGGCAGGGAAGGAGCAAGTAGGGCCGGGGCAGGCAGGGCAGGATCAGGAAGGTTCAAGAGCAGACAGGGCAGGGGCAGGCAGGGCAGGATCAGGAAGGGCAGGAGCAGGCAGGGTAGAGGCAGGCGAGGCAGGATCAGGAAGGTTCAGGAGTAGGCAGGGCAGGAGCAAGCAGGGCAGGATCAGGAAGGGCAGGGGCAAGCAGGGCAGGATCAGGAAGGGCAGGGGCAAGCAGGGCAGGATCAGGAAGGTTCAAGAGCAGGCAGGGCAGGATCAGGCAGGACAGGAGCAGGAAGGGCAGGAGCAGGAAAGTTCCGGATCAGGCAGGGCAGGAGCAAGCAGGGCAGGAGCAGGCAGGGCAAGACAGAAGACGGGGAGAAAAGACTGCTCAGTAGTGTGCATCTAGCAACAATACTTTGTAAGGCTCAGCTTTGGAATATGGGTGGACTAACCAATCCATAAGGCATGACCAAATATTCAAATGATCCCATATGGGTTATAAACAATGTTTTCCACTCATCATCTTCATGTATTCTGATCAGGTTGTGTGCACTATGAAGGTCCAGCTTCGTAAAGATCACAGCCTCGTGTAACTTCTCGACTGCTGAGGGGATCAGTGGTAGGGGCTCTCTGTGTTTCACTGTGATGGCATTGAGAGCACCATAATCAACACACGGGCGTAACCCACCATCTCTTTTTAACAAAGAAAAATCTGGATGTGACCGGAGAGGTGGATGGATGAATAATACCATGCTTTAGGCCCTCCCTGATGTAGTCACGCATGGCCTCCTCTTCGGGCAGGACAGGGAGTACAGGCAGCCTTTGGGAAGGGGTGCCCCCTCCAGGAGATCAATGGCACAATCGCATGTCCGTTGAGAAATTGGTTGGCTATCATACTTGTGCATGATTGTACAAAATAACGAGACAGAAAATGAGGTTGCAGTCCAGATAAACTCCTTGGAAATAGATGTTTTTTTATCATGAGAACGACACAATAGAGTGATGACAATGTCTTTTAGGCATTGAAACGGGGTCCAAATAACTTTGGAAAATGGAAATCTTGAATGAAATATTAGCTGATGTTTTTAAACTCTTTTAATAACTAGAAATGTAGCTTAGTACAGTGGTACCTCGGTATACAGTACGTCCGCTTTGGAATAAGTCGAACTTGGAATACGTCCTGTTTGGACACTGAAAATTTTGCTTAGTATACAACCTTTGTTTGGAATACGACTCACATGCTAGAACTTGTGTGGGTCAAAATGAGTGACGACACCGTGCGCTACCCTTGTTTCCCTCTCTCGAGACAAATCCACGACTGCCCACGAGTGTCAGTACGCCAGTTGCTACCATTTAGTGAACAACCCGCGCTATAACTCTCTTTTCATTTATTTCATCTAATTGCTTTTGTATTTATGTATTTTAGTATTAAGCAGTGTTTACATTATTTTATACAACCCCATTAGTGTATAATATTCCAATAACAATAGGATTTTTTTTATGGTAATGGATTAATAATTTTCCCTTTATTTGTTATGGGACAAATTCGTTTGGTATACATCCGATTTGGTATAAGTCCAAGGATCTGGAACGGATTAAGGACATGTACCACTGTATAGCAAATGTGTAGGTTTGAAAGTGAAATTGAACAAATCTTTTAAGTGAAGGAAATGATCTCTGTCACTGCACTGATTCGTTTAGTTCACTTTCATCACCAATGTACTGATATCAGAAAGACTATCCATCCTCCAACTGGTTATCCTGGTCAGATTCATGCGAATAAGCCTAACATAATTAATTTCCATAGGCAAAGTAATTCAACTGCACTCCTCACGTGGCATGTTGGCAGTGAAAGAATCTTTTAACTAAACAACACAGTTTCCTTCTCTAGTAGAGATGTACACTACTAAAGCTGTTTAGCCAGTCAAGAGGGTCTGCTTTAAAATAGTAATTGATGTAATGAATTAAAATTCAATTTCAAGAACCATTTTCTGTATTTTCTGACCCAACTAGATGGTGCTCTTGGTTTGCTTTGGGGCATGTGTTGGGCCTCACTGAACAGAGGGCCCATCAAGTGGGGTGAGGAAATACAGCATATTGTTCATGAAGCATCAGCCTGCTATGCTCTCGGAAGATCCTGAGTTTGCCTTGCTTCAGGTAAGTGGTTCTGTGATACAGACGGATGTTCATTTTGGATAAGTAATAGAAAGAATAACCTTAATGAAAAAGCATAAAAAACATATTAAATATCAACAGACTAAATATTTATTTTTTTTTTCAACATGAATTCCATAATACAACAAAACTGTGAGTTTTTTTTATGGTCATAATCATTGTCATCATCATCGTCATCATAGTCATTGTAATCATCATCATTAATTCTAAGAATATATCATACACAAGAAATACAGCACTACCCAGAGGCATTGAGAGGATCACAAGACATACCATACACCACTAACAACAGAGTAATTGAATAGCATATCAGTAAGAGATTGAAAGGAGGGAGAGAAGAATAAAGAGAGAAGGAAATGCATACAGAAAGCCCAGCCCTCCCAAAATATAAAACCTTGATTTGCCAGAAGCAGAAGTGTGCATTAAAAATGTTGTTTATATCACTCTGAATCTGTGGCCATAGTGATGTCAATCCCATCATGCACTGAAACATGTATGCTCACTACGACAACTTTTATCTAGAATCCAGAATAATAAGAGTGGCAATACAAACATATATAATCTAGTTAATGTGTAAATCTTTAGAAGGTGATTGCAACGCTGCTGGTAGTCTATAAGGTTCTGTACACTGGATCCTAATCACACTCTTTTCAATGTCTGACACCTGGTGCACAGTATGGTCATACTTACAGAACATAGCAAAGCAGGGGGCATATATTAGATGGTAATTTAGTCAGCAACAATATATTGATTTAAAAAATATACATGGACCAGTCCAACAATCTTTGTAATGCAGCGTAAGACTTAGTAAGACAGTAAGTGTGAGCTTCAATAATCAAAATGGTGAAATAAATTATTAGTTTTATGCACTTAGACTGCAGTAATGATATGCAGCATTGATTACTGATTTAAAGTAAATATTTACTTATATGTATTTATGTAAATAATATTTTACACTTTTGCGGTGAAGATTTTTTGACTGTCCATGCAATGTTTAAGGCTATGTACCAACCAACCTCATGTAGAAAGACTACAGTATCTTAGTATTGCAACTCCAGGCCTGATCTGGCAATCATAACATTAAAATGATAGAAAATAGAAATATATTTATTACTACATACATTAAAAGTTTTTTATATACAATTTATGTAGTCCAACTGACTATGCATGCACTGGCCACACTTCTTACTCAAAGGAACCACACAGCCATAGTACATGTTACTAAAATGACAGACCTCTGGACAAGAAAAATTAACTGGATCAGATTTCATAACATTTTAATCATGATCTGTCATTTCAGAAGTATGTGCATGTGAGTTCTATGTGTCTCATTCTGCTGCACATCCAATGTTCAAATACTGCAGTAAGGATTTAAAATTCACATAAAGCGAATTTGTGCATCTCTGCATGTGAGAGTACAGGTATGAGTATTATTTAAACGCCATTTTAACAGACATGATTTACATCTGATGCTCACACAACGCAACAAATAAACCAGAAGTCATGGTGTAAAAAAGCTAAAACTATAAATGTAAAAACTGAAGTCAAAAATCAAAGGTACTATGCAGTCCTAATAAATGCAGCATATTGCAAATTCATGTTAGTCATGGTAAACATACTCTTATCAGATAACATAATATTAATATAAAAAAGCAGCTGGACAATAGACACATTTTTCCTTTTGAAAATGAATCTGATCTTAGAATAAACAAAGAGAAAAGAAAAATAAAACATATGGAACAAGAAGTGCAAATTAGTGAAGTTATTACCAGCGTAAAGTACAGGTAAAGTTCCCAATAGTCATTTAACTGTTTATTATTATGAGTATTTAACAATTATCATTATTAATACCTTTCTCATCCATAATATCTCAGTATTTAGGTTATTTTACCATTTTTTAAAATGTATATATTTTTCCACGTGAATACACCACAATAAGAAAGCACAAAGAAAACACATTTACTCTTCCAATCCTCTATCCCTCAGGTGTATGTTCTCAGCCCCCACCCTTTCTCCCTCCCTCCCTCCCTTCCTCTTTATGTCAACAAAAAAAGCAAATATAGACAAACAGATAGGAGTGTGGAATTATGGGTAAGGTTCGGGCAACACACTCCTCGAATCACACTGTCAGCTCCTTCTGTGAAAACACAAGGACAGAAAATACGCAAAACATCCAGTTTATTGAAAAGGACAATGTGTGGAAAGGGGATAATTATACAGATATAATATATGAGTTATTCAGCCAAACACAATAATGAATTTATATTACAATGTTACATTTAAATCTCCAGTGTTAAACTTTTCATTACTGCACTGCCTTCATGTTACATGACCAAAAATCAAGCTGATTCTGTAAACATTTACTCTAACAATCTTGCCAACACTAACACATTTTAAAACATATCACATTTTCATTTGTAAACTAATTTTGTGAGATGACACCTTAGCTATGCTGTTAGGCCTCAGATGCCATTACAACCTAATAAAGTTTTTATGGAAAATTGTCCTAAATAATATTAGTAACAATTGATTAAGGTTTGGATAATGCAGGTTTCAGGTGTGTCCTACATACATTTATATGGAAAACCCCTGCATTATTTTGTTTATAATATAAAATATATTGTAAAGAAAAAAATAAAATACTATTCAAGTATTGGCAGGGCTGGCTCTACCTTTCCAGGGGCCCTAGACAAAGCTTTATTGGGAGGCCCCCCTACCCAGAAAACTGATGACTATTTAATTTGGGGGGCCAAGGTAACTGCATATTCTGCCTATAGATAGAGCCGACCCTGATTGGACAGCAGTCCCTTGATTTACAAAGATAAGGCATTCCTGAAAAATCTTCTTCATGCTGAAAATTGAATTCCCATTCATTTTATTGGTAATTATAGCTAAGGGTTCCAAAATCCCAAACAATGAGGAGATTTTCTTTGATATTTACCCTAAACGTGCAGTTTACCTATGATTACATTACACATGCTGACACACACTGGTAAAAAGTAGTCTTGTGTCACACATTAATATACAGTACATACCTTCTCTTATGCCATCCATTGGCATAATGATGTACAGCCTATGATTTAGTTATGCAAACTTAACAGTTTCCATGGCTAATGAAAAAAATGGTTTAGCCTGACAAAATCAAATTGGCCTTCCGTTATTAATTAGAAAACTTTCATACATCGATATGGTTGCACTAAAAAGAGACTGTCGTTATAACAAATGTTTGTAGATCGAACATTTGTAAATCAAGGGATGACTATGGTTAAAATAAAGACTGTTTATTGCTTACTGGATATGTATTAATCACATGATTCCATTCTGAATCACATAAAAGACATTTTTAAAACTTTGAGCCCCCCAAATCCGTATTTATCTGCTGAATTTAATTTTCAAAGTTAACCTGAAATCTGATATCTGACAGTGCAAAGCTGCAAATCTTAAGTTGACCTTTTAAGTTTATTTTTCCAAAGGTAACTTGAGAATGTTCTAAAATGGGCATTGTGAAAATGTAAGCTGTCATTTTACTCACCAGCCACGGGTTGCTGCACTGCTCACATCTTGTTGGCAAAGGAGGTTGGCGCCCCCTGCTGGCCATACCCTCCTTGTCCGTAGTCCCCACCCTGAGTGTAGCCTTGCTGGTTGTACTCGGGCTGGTATCCTCCCTGGGAGCCAGCGTAGGGATCCTGATGGGAATAGCCATCTTGGTCGTATCCTCCTCCCTGTTGGCCAAAAGATTCAGGGGCCGGCTGTTTCTCCTGGGCTGGGGGTTGGCGCATAAAGGGGGCAATAATTCCTGTTTCCTTGAACACAAACCAAAGGTTTCCTCCCCAGAGAATCAAGTTCAGGAAGCCAAACACCTGTAAAGTGAAGACAATATGTTAGCTTTAACACATTGTCACTTTTATTAATTATATCTGGATTGGCATGTAAAGAACTAGATTAAAATACACTTGCATTTAAAAATAACAAATAGCCATATATTCCAAGCATCCAGTTTACTGCCAAAATAGCAGAAACACCAAAACAAGTTGTCTACATAGAGTTCTGTACCATCATAAACCAAAATAACACCTTCGGTACACGCAGACTTTCTGGAATCTCATACCTCCATGGTCATGTTGATATAAATCGAAAAATGCTGTCTCACGAATGCATGAGGGCTGACTGTATTGCAAGCTAACCATTGAATACCCCTCTGTGAAGAACTGTATCAGATGAAAATATGTCTCAGAGTGACATTTTTAGGCAACAGACACCTCATCCACTGGTATCTCAGACTGATGCACAGACATCACAGATGAAGAGTATACACGTAATTTAACCTAGATGATATATGTCCGACACCTTAGTTTAAAGCTCATGAGGCAGCATGGATGGGCTCAGGTGGAACTCAGGCCCATCTGTTCAGCATTCACTGCGAGCAATTCAGTACAGATTGTGTCTGACAGGTATGTGTGTGTGAGGTTCAATGAGAGCAAATGTACAAATAGAGGCAAATAGATTTTTCTTTCTCTTTGTTAATTTGGTCTTAGTAATGCCACAGACCATTTAAAAACTAATAAAAACATGTAGTTGAGTCTGTAGATCGATTATGTCGCTAACCGAATTGTTATGGGACTGACGCCCCCCGATTTTCTGTCAGCCCACCCACACTATGATTCCCAGCTCCACTATTGGTCTAAAGTAGTGTTTCCCAACCCAATCTTCAGGGGAACCCTGGACAGTCCACATTTTTGCTTCCTCTCAACTCCCAGTGCACCTGTACCAGGTATTCGGTGTTCCTGATTGGCTGGGAGCTGGGAGGGAGCAAAAACGTGGACTGTCCGGGGTTCCCCGAGGACTGGTTGGGGGAAACACTGGTCTAAAGGGTCATACTAACATACTAAATCAAGTAAAAAAAATAAACAGATGAACATCATCATATATAAAAATGTGAGCATGATAGGATATTAATTGAGTAATTAACTGTAGAATCACAAATATTTCCTTCATTTTGGCAGTTACATACATATGTACTGCATGCACAATCAATTTTAAAACCCAGCCTAATGCAATTTTTTCATAATCATTTTAAGATTAATGACATATGTTCAGAAGTAGATGAAAACATCGACTTGGCACCATGATTTCCAGCTTAAATGGGTATTTACCCATGGATTCAGTGTTTGTATGTATTGTTAGCAAAAGCAGAGAGAAAATGGAACAATCAGCAAAAGTGGAAACTTACTACAGAGGTGTTGAGGCCTGACATGACAGGGTCATGCACCTCACGGCAGCGATTCTCTTCTTTTTCGCAGGCAGAAATTAGAGTGACGACTCGCTCAGGGTCAGTGGCTGTCTTGACATCAGAGAGGCCTTTGGCCCAGGCTGCTGAACTCACCAGCCACATGAATGTAAATACGCAGGTCACTCCGAAGTCCTAAAACAGCATGTAGATGACACACCATCGTCTGCTAAGGCACATGATCATACAGACTTACACACTGACGCATACTTCAGGCGGCGCACCTTTCAACGCTCAAACACACACTGCTAAACGAATTTTCACACAGAGGCACAACTCACGATCAAAGGTCCCTTGTTGTTCTCACGGTACTTCTCAAACATGAAGATGTAAATCGCCAAGGCGGCCATTGAGTACAGGAAGGCGAACACACCAATGGTGACAAAAAACTCTGCTGAGGATGAGTAATCACCCACGAGGAACAGGCGCTCCGGTGGGCCTCCTTTGCAGGTTGGGGCATCAAAATACACTTGGTGGAGCCTGGGGTGGAGCAAAGAGGTTTGCTTCTATATGTCATATTGTGAAATCAACCTAAGAACGATCTTTCACATACTAGTACTAGTTCTGCCAGTTGATTAAAATCATTTAATCGCATATTTGGATGCAATCAATGATGATTAATCACACATTTATAATACTGTATATCCCATTGTTATGCTGCAATGATAAGTTCATCACTGAAGTGTGCACCCAAGTATATACATATAACATTTTGACGTGTTTATTTACTCTGTTTAAAGCAAACGTGCTGTTGACTGTCTGAATCAGTGACATTTTGCTCCACAGTACTCATACCTCTTGCAACTGTGGGAGAAGAAAACTGGGCAATTAAATGGCATTATTTTATTTTTAACATGTTTAGGTTTTTAATTAATCACATGCATTTACAAGCTAATTTTGACAGCCCTTGAACATCATGTTATCTTTATTGACTGCATCCAAATATGCGATTAAATGATTTTAATCGACTGGCAGAACTAGTACGCAACCTATATCTGTGCCTGAGAACATGGTGCCACTGACCTGAATGGGTACTCAAACTCCACTTCGATGCTGAGGTCACTCTCAGTCCTGTTCTTACACTCCACACTCATTTTAAACATCCCAGAGTAACTGCCACATGTGGCAAAAGCAAAGATCGAAAACACCTAGCATGAAGAGAGAGAGAGAGAGAGAGAGAGAGAGAGACTGTTTGTAGTTCACTTTTCATTTCATTTAGGAAAACAATATTGCTGCAATGACATTGTCGTGGCAATAATAGGCTACAGAAAGATATGTAAAATGTAACTGTAGTTTGAAGTGCTTGAAACAGTGTTTTCTGTGAAATATTGTTTTCTTCATCACTTCCATCATCACTTTGTTACTTTTTGTGGGATTGAAGTAGATCAGTCAGCTTGAGAGTGGCTGTTTAACAGGTTTTAGTGATGCTCAAATTCAGATGTACTTTAACTACCTTAGAGGCCACTCTACATTGTGAAAATGTGTTACACTCTGGGAATAAATAAACACTCTCAACATATACTCTGAAATTGCCCATTTACTAATATAGGTAGAGAATTGTCCACATTTTAGAAGAAAAGTTAAATTACCCAAATATATTACTCAAATGTGACAGGAAAAAAACATCCTTATGGGGATTTTCATGTCTTGATAACAATTTTTTGTTGCATGCTTACAGATGATTTGAATATATGTAACACAATGCTAAAGCAATATGAACAAATCAAATTGTGGCTATGATAAAATATCTGCATTTCTTGTTGCAGTCACCATTAGAGTAAAAGAAAAAAAACAGAATTCTCAGCATCTTCTTAAATCAGCTTGATTTACTCACACATATTGGTTCCTGCAACCCACAGTGACTCCATTTATTAATCTTACTTCGGAGCTCAACCATATGTCACTCTGTATTACTTGATTTACTGCAGCTTTGCCACCCCATACCATGAACATACATTATACTTCTAACACCTTGTGACCAACCAAACAACATGAAAAAAAACAAAAAAAAACAGAACGTGACGTACCACAATGCACATAGACATAAGCGTGTCAGCACAATAAATCATTTTTCCAGAAAACTAAGTATTCAGTCAGAAAGGCTTCACATTTTCACACTAATACAAATATGAAAGTAACAGGTCATACATAAGTATTGAAAATGATTGATTTTCAGTTATTTGTTGCCAGGTCTCTCCTCAGCAAGAATTAATTAGAGAACCGATACTGAGTCTACGGAGTGTTAGTGAAAAAAGATTTGTAAGGTAATAATAATTACTGTTTATATGCATTTATATGGACTGAAATTTTAGAAAAAGTGTTATTTCTATGTTATATCACTATTATAAAGGTTTTTAAGTAGAATTAAGTTTGAATTGTACAAACTTTTGTACTTGTACAAATTCCTCCCAAAACTAAATATCACTAAGCACAACATAACAACAGCAGTATTTACAGTGAAGTCCCATTGCAGTGAAGTTAGACACCACTTTAACAACAGCAGTATTTACAGTGAAGTCCCATTGCAGTGAAGTTAGACACCACTTTAACAACAGCAGTATTTACAGTGAAGTCCCATTGCAGTGAAGTTAGACACCACTTTAAAGAGCAAAGGCAATGCTGGATGTCATGCAAGACGCGGCAGTGATCTTGAAGCAGTAAAATACCATCATTCTCGCCTCCAGAGGGTGGTAGTGCGCAGATATCGTACGCAAGCTCACAAACTCCAACAGCTAATGAATACCGATATATTAAAATTAAATCAAATGTCAGTAGCACTGTCCTCTAAACTAAATACCGGAAACGCATTCGAATGCATCCTTCCAATTAACTGTGCCTTCGGTTCCACCAGATCTGTGACTCTATTTTGAACTGACAGCAGGAAATGCATGTAAGCATATCCAACGAGTCACAAGTTACTCACAACTGAGTCTTTGTTTGAAGATGTGTGACTGCGACTGAAGATGAGCCGCGTCAAAGAACTTATTCAGCTTATCAAGAATCAAAAATTCATCACATTCTTTAGGCGCTTAACAGCAAATTGCTCAGCCATAAAAGTGACCTGTTCTTGCTACAAAAGGTTGAGAGTCAGTCTTAATTTGAAAGAAGTCAATAAACATTTGAATACTAATGAATAATTCTATGGATATCAGGAGTGTCACATTTAAAACAAATCAACAATTAAATAATAATAGTGAGGTTATTTTTGTTTGTTTTGTATTGTTGTTTATTTAAGCTGAAATGTCCGTTGACTATATGGGCTATTTATAAACGTTACTGAGAGTTGTTTCACAATGGAAATCGGCAAGCTAAAGCACTTCTACTTTATGAAGATGGAATATCAATGTGAGAATATCAGCTCAGCTTCCCTTGATTTAATAACAGCCCTTATCCCACTTGTATATTGTCAAAACGGTTCAGAAGCTGTGAGTGTAAAAATACCACCTTATCCTCTGAGCTTTAAGGCTGATGGGAAAATTACTGCTATTTCATTAATCAGTGTGAAAGTGCATGGAATTAAAATCACTGGCTTCCTCAATTGTGCATGACATGTTTAAGTTCTTGCAGGTTGTACAGTATCTGCTTAACTTCTAAACGGTTTATTCAATACAGGTTACCAAACTTAAATGGGTGTCCCTCTCTTTAAACTGTCTTTAAACAGGAACTAAAAGTATTGTATTACGGTAATGTTTTATTAATGCATCCTGATGTTTTGGCCTCCCTTATATGCATAGAAATCTCTAGCCAGGGACCTTGACAATCTCTCTGCCTCACTGTGAGGGGGCCCACTCATGCAATATCAATAATGTGGTTGATGAAATTAAAATCCAGCATATAGGAGGCAGTTGTTTCTGAATTGTGCAGTGCCATAGCAGTCGTTGTGGGTTGTGGCCGTCGTAGTTAGTACCAAAAAGCTGCTGGGGAATGTCGTTTCAGGCACAGCTCATCCTAATCCAGTGGGGAGGGGGGAATGCAAAAACACTGCACAGATTAATGGAGTGATTCTATTGGCCAGACAGTTGTGCACAGATAAGTACGTTATGTGCTAAGACTGCCAACTAGCTAATCCTGGGGCTATACCAGAAGTGCCATCACATGCACCCCCTTACTTTGATGAAGATCTCCTTTGAAAGAATTAGGATAGACTTCTTTGGGCCATAGGACAGAAGCTCACTAGAACATTAGTCAGCGTGGACTTCATGACGCAATACCTCAGTGCCTCTATTTTGTATTTCAGACTATTGCAGAGGCACTGTTCTGATTTTTCTCAATTTTTTTTTTCTATGAAATGAAAATTTGTCTGCAAAGGATAATAAAAAAATGGGACATAAAAGTTAATTTATCTGTTTGGTGACTGGGTGAAATTATTGTACATGAATTTCTGTGGACCTCATCAAGGAAAAGTGAGGGAGAAGGCTTGCGTAAAACTAAAATACAATACACCTTGGACCTCAGAGGAAAGCATCACAAGAGTATTGATTCAGAACAGACAGAAAAATGCGAACCCAACAGGAGAAAACTCACTCAATAGACGATATGTGAAAAGGAAAGTAATGCACAGTAACCCCTTCACATTTGCGCATTTGCCATTTGTGGCTCTGGTTATTCACATGTTGGCAGTGAACAATTAAACAGGAATATTTTTGGAACTTGTCAAAAGATCACAGAAACTTGCAGATGATGTACAAGACAAAAACAATAGTGAAAATGATTTGTCATGTTCTGCATGCCCGACCCTCCTGTCTCTGCCTTAATGTGGCCTTGAGACAGGACTGGTGCTTGGTACCCCTTGGTAGTCCTTGTATGTAAGTCCTTGCTTGTCTCGGTATCCCCCAGTCTAGTCACTGACCCTCGTGTTGCCTGTGCCCTCCCTTGTTCCAGTCCTCCCATTTTGATACCAGTTGTTTGATCTTGGTTGTTTCCAGTTTCTGTTCAATTAACCCCTATTTTGTTTCGCAACAACGCCTCCCCTCGAGTCTTTCGTCCCTCAAATCATGATCGATTGACCAGACTCCACAAATTGCCTAGTGGCTATCCCCAGGAACCGCTTATGCTCATGGACAATCCACTGATCAACCCACTGAGTGAAATCAACCTTGCGAAGCCTGAGGAGGAGGAGGATCTTGGGGAGTCTCCTGGCCTGCAGGTCGCCCTGCCCATGTGGAGGTCATATTTCTCCGCGCCAAGGATGACATGCCTGCGTTGATCCCTCTGGAGCCCCATATCTCTGAGGTGGGCTGGTTCACCACTTCCCTGCAGCATTAAGCTGCTCTGCTCGCCACCTCTCCACAGCGTGAAAGTGCTCTGCCAAATAGCTCTCCAAAACTTGCCACAGATCTGCCTGTTGGATCCCCACAGATCACCACAGCTCCACCCATAGCTTCCAGCCGCAGGAGGAAGAAGCAGAGGAAGCGGGCTATGCCTGTTGCCTCAGCCTTGCCTGACCTGGTGCCTCCATAACCCTGCCCTGGGGAAGGAACCATAGAGCCTCCCAAGCCCGGTTCGGATAGGGTAGGGCTATTCGAATCACGGTCCTCAAGGTCCAAGTACTGCTGATTTTCCAAACTTTCCTTTGCCTGTGAGTCAGGTGTGAAGCCTTTGGCTAATCAGAATCAGTAAATATTAAACTACCTGGGAAAACTGAAAACACGGCTTGGATTTGGATTCAAGGTCCAGATGTGAAGAGCCCTGGGATAGGGCCACTGCTCATCCCGAGTCATCAGAATCTAGCCCAAAGGGGCCCTCCCTACCTATCCTGGCCTCTGCTGTGCCTCCAGAGCCTGCTTTCTCCTCTGTTGTGCCTCTAGAACCTACCCTTCGGGCTCCCGTTCCACAGAAGGCCACTCCACCTGTGCTTCAGCAGCAAAGCTCCGAGAGGACTGCTCCGCCAGAGTCTCAGGCTCCCGGCTCAGGAAGGGCTACATTGTCCGCACCTGGCCCTGCAGCAATCATGCTGCTTCAACCTGACCCAGGTGAGACCACTTCACTGGGTGGTACTCTGTCTTGGGCTCCTTGGCCTGCTCTGCTTTGTCTGCCGTCCCACAGGGAATACCCATGGTTGCTCCAGGGGCCCCGGTTTTACCCTGCTCTCCTCCAGGTGCCCCAGCTTTGCCCTGCTTGCCTCCAGGTACCCTGGCTGTGTTGTGCT